TAATTGAATTTTCCCCCATTTCCATTGGATTTCACATAGTCCTTATTCCTAAAAGGTATTCTCATCCAGAATGGACTGAAAAAGAGTTTCGACCTCACCTGGTGGATAGTCATATCTTCAAAATGAAGTCAAAACAGTGCATTGTTCAAGATGATCCCAAAATTATCAGCAATATTTTTTTAATTGATAACCTTATTAAGCTAAGCGAAAAACATCACAAATTACTATCAAGACCTGAATAATTCAGAGAGAAATTGGTTACTAATGCGGAAAAGCTAAGAGCATGCAAACATCTTCTGATAGACGACATATCAAATGCATTTGGAACCCCTGAAGTAGCATGAAAGAGCTTATTTAATCTGGCGGCCTAATAGAAAAAATGAATAACTTCCTCGGTAAGTACTGCGAACGAAGTACTCAGTAGATTGCCTTTGAAAGTTCGATTGAAGCTTACTTAAATCGAGGCTGGCATATGCAAAGCAGATGCCCAAAAAGGAATTTTATATGAACATAATACAGGGTCCTAGGAAAAAATATCGATAATTTTCAAGGCAAATGCATCTGAAATACGCTAGGAGTAAGGTGATTAAACTACTTCGGCTAATATGGAGTCAGGATAAGAGGCTAATCATATGATGGAAGCAGTATAGACGCCGACAAATGAAGATTTATTCGGTTAACTAAGCTAAAGTCATAGTATTTTCCAGGAAGCAGTGGACAAATCAGAGAATTAAAGATTGAATAGTGAACATAGGACTGGTAAAAGCCTATTTTATATGAGATAAAATTGATTTAGGACTAAAAATAATTGAAACTAGATGTCTAATAACAAAGACTCATAACTAAATAATGTTAAATAAATCATTATTTCAACAACCTAAGCCTGGAATGCTAACGAAAATTCAGAACGAATATCACGCTTTAATCTAAGTTCATATCAAAACAAAAACGCTCTTAATAACATCATTGCGCGCAAACAATCTTTGAGGCGAGTTCCTAAGATATTTATCTGATTAACTGTCAAGTCGTTGAAGAGGAAGCACAAAAGCAAAAAGTAAATAAGTATAGACATAAAAATTTTAACTAAATATGAATACATATTTAGAGGGAAAGTTTTCCAATTCGTTGTGAAGATATTCTTCATAGTATAGATAAAACAAATTTATAACTAATTAAGCATATTAAATTTCGCCATTAACTAGCTTAATAGACGATTATAAGATGATCAAATGGACAATGCGATAATATTTTATCCCCCAAGAGCCCGTAAAGAATGACTGCATAAACGTTAGGCATGAATAACACGAGGATCGGAAAAAGATTATAATGACACCATAGTTAAACTTGAATAAAAAGAACAAATTTAGTTGAATAATACAATAGTAACAAACATAATCAGGCAACGAATATAGCATAAATAAAAATGAAAGATGGCTAATAAATTGTGGTGATAATTAAAGAAATGCGCATATAAAAAAGATCAAATTCATACTCACATTGTATTGAGATCAAGCTCGATTGGAGACCGGTTAGTGTGATTGGGAGTAAATATTTGGGACAAACTACCAGACCCACGTAGGAATGAAGTGAGGCTTGGTGGCGGCAATGAAGAAAATGTGAGAGGTACTATATCTCCAGGAAAACTTGACAAACAGGATGAAAGGTTGGCGGCATTAAGAGTGCGCTTGATGTCTCGTATCTCTTCTGTGAGAGCCTTGACAAGAGCAGAACTCATAAGAATGTTGTCATCATTAATAATAGTTTGTAAACTATCTAATCGACACTCAGAAGCAAATCTAGGTCCAGGTGGAAAAAGATTATTTTTATGCCGTCTAATCTTATCAAGATTCAGTGTCAGCTTATTTTCTGAATCTGTATAGTGAACTCGACGAGAGCAGCCAGGCGAAGGTGAAGGAGACTCTAGTTCACTGCCACTGGATAAACCATCGGCTACGGTTGGTAAGGATGTTTTTTGCCGAAATAAATAATTATAAGAATATTCATTGGTGGGGATGTCTGTGGCTTTATCTACTTCATTATGTGAAGCAAGCTTAACGGTCGAAATTGCCTTTCTATCCTGGCAAGGAGAAAGCAGAGCGAGATGCGGTCCTTGCTGGACAGAATTCATTTGGATATGACTTGGATAAAGGGGAATATCAGTCAACTTATCATCTTCAGCAACAAGAGAAGTCATTTGGACTCCTGCAGGATTGGTCAAACAAACAGTGAGCGATTTATTTGAACCATTGCTGAGAAAAGCAGGTATCACAGGAGCAGTTATAAAGGGTCCATTCAAAGGTCCAGGATTTAACGAAGAATTTTTATCAGTAATTGCATAATTTTTATAAAGATGTTCTGCACTGAGCACTCTGTGGCCCTGAGATAAACTGTTTTCAGGGCTCCCAACTGCAGAGTTTCCAGCACTTGAGCGATTACAATACTGTTCGGGCGCCCTTTTAAGTTGGCGATTTGACGTATATCTGTCCTCTGTTTTATCGAACGTGCTTCTTATAATGGATGAAGACATCGAGAAAAGAGCAGGTGATGAAGCTAAGGATGAATCACAAATATC